GTTGTAATTCTTAAATTATCTTTGCAGGATCTTAAATTTCTTTGAGCGCTGAGATAGCAGACCAACTGGAGCCAGAGAATTAATGATGCTGACCCTTGCCAGCTCTTGTGACTTTGACCTGGAATCTATTACCTTTTTGTTTTTTTAATTTAAATTCAAGTAGCCAACTTATAGTACATTTTTAGTTTCAGATGTTGGACTCCATTCCCTTAAGATGACTTTTACCCCAAATCCCTGCCTAATTCCTCATTGCATAAGCCCTTTCATGAATATGTATGAGCCTGTAACTTAAAACTTCCCCCCCATTGTTCTGGGAGACACTACTTTGGGAAATATCCATCCGGTGTTCTCCTTTACATGTTGCAAGTAAAACACTTCCTTTTCCTAGTCTTCGGGCTTGGTTGTGTCTTTTGGCTCGACAATCACCGAGAGGCAAAGCCGGTTTCGGGTAGCAATATCCTGTAGTTCTAAAAATGTATAATTGGATTATTTAATTGATTTCTTTTCTGTTTCCCAGGTGTCTTGGGCTGGCTTTCAAATATTCTTACCTCTTTCTCTCCTTTTTGCCTTTTGTCTACACATCCTAGGATATTTCATTAACTTTGTCTTCCTACCACTGTACTGAGTTTTTCATTTTGTTATCATATCTTTAATTTACAAGAGCTCTGGTTCTCTGGGTGTTCATTTTTTAGAGACTCTGTTCTGGTTTTTATTCTAATTCTTTTTATTTCTCAAAGGAAATTGATAATGGATTTTTAAGTTTTCCTCTCTCCAGATACTCTGTTTCTTTGAAGTTTCTTTTTTCCTGTTCTGATTTATGTCAGATTCTTCTCTTAAATTCTGATGACGTTCAGCTGTCTGTTCTTATTGAAGAGTGCCAGATTTAGCAAAACAAAACAAAACAAAACAGGACATGTAGTTAAATCTGAATTTTAGATAAACAATGTTTAGTATAAGTGCATCCTGTGCAATATTTAGGACAATACTTATGGCATAGAAGTATTCTAGGGGCGCCTGGGTGGCTCAGTCGTTAAGCGTCTGCCTTCAGCTTAGGTCGTGATCCCAGGGTCCTGGGATCGAGCCCCACATCAGGCTCCCTGCTCCGCAGGAAGCCTGCTTCTCCCTCTCCCACTCCCCCTGCTTGTGTTCCCTCTCCTGCGGTCTCTCTCTCTGTCAAATAAATAAATAAAAATATTTTTTAAAAAAGAATTATTTATTGTTTATCTGGAATTCCATTTAACTAGGTGTCCTCTATTTTATCTAGCAACCCTAAAAGTGAGATCTTAAATGCTGCCTGGACGCTATGTGCAGGTGGGTAGGACTTCACTAGGATAAGTTCACTAAAGGGTCACTCTAGTTCATTGAGTACCTGATGATCTCTTTAGGTCTTTACTCTCCCCAAAGAAGAACATTCCAAACTCCATGTTCTGGCTGCCGTGTTAGAGAAACCACATAAGGAAGAATACTGACCAGCTCAGGATTCATCATTAAGTTTCATATAGATACTCAATTTCAGTACAATTGCTGTTTAAACAGAAAACCACAGGCCCAAAATGGCATCACTTAGGATGAGGCCCCAAGTCATTAAACCAAGACCTAATACCTAACCTGACTGCAGTTCCATGCCGCCCCCCCCCCCCCCCCCCCCCAGTTACTGGGGATTCTACACACAGAAAAAACCCGGTGTTTTTATTAAGTATATGTAACCACTTTCAGAAGCACTTGGTGTAGCAAGACCTGCACAGTCTGAGAAATTCTGCCATACTATGTTGCTTCCTGGCTTGACCTACTCTGGGCTCAGGAGCCCCCTTTTCTCAGGTCTGCTAAGTCAAGGATCACCTGTCTCTCTGCTTTCTAACTGCCGAAATTTCGTTCTTTTTCCTCTCTTGTTACCTTGTTCTTGTACATTCCCCCCCAGGAATGTAACCTTTAACCAGCCATGGAATTCCCTGATCAGCACTAGGAAATTTACTGATAGACCCCTTCTGTTCCCCTTAGGAGGGCAACCTTGTCTAAAACAATGGATTCTTTGCTAATAATTTCCTTTTTTCCACTCTCTCCCTACCTTTAACAACCTTTCCCTTTCTGTAGCCCTTTGGAGTTCCCCTCTACTTGCGAGACAGGATGCTGCCCGATTCATGAATCGATTAATAAAGACAACGGGATCTTTAGAATTTACTTGGCTGAATTTTTTTATTTAACATTGCCAATTTTTTGTTAGTACCCCCATTCAGGGATGGAGACTAATTCCCCTTGCCTTGAACCTGGGCTCACCTTAGTGACTTGCACGACCTATGGGATGTAATGGAAATAACATGCAGGGGCTTCTAAGCCTAGGTATTAAGAAGCCGAGTAACATCTACCTGCATCTCTTAGCCTGAGCCTCCAGGTAGGAAATCCGACTACCCTGAAACTGCCATGTGGAGAGAGCATGCTTACTTAGATGCTCTGGTGGCCAGTGCCCACTGAGACCCATCTCCCAACTCACCTTGCCATGATACCAGACACGTGAGTGAATCCTCCAGACTGGTCTGTCAGCTGAATACCACTAAGTGACCTTTGTTGACGTGGTGTGGAACAGAGGATTGCCCAACCAACAAAATCATAAATACCATAAAATGATGGTTGTTTTAAGTCACCAAGTTTTGAGGTACTTTGCGAGGGAGACTTAAATAACTGGAACAATGTGACTACACCCGGAATGCCCCCATTCAAGAGATCCTCTGCTTTATGCCCTCCAGAGAATATGATTTCAATCGTCTGCCGAAGTGGGAGAGGGCGGTGGCCGCAGTGCAGTTACTGGGGATTCTACACACAGAAAAAACCCGGTGTTTTTATTAAGTATATATAACCACTTTCAGAAGCACTTGGTGTAGCAAGACCTGCATAGTCTGAGAAATTCTGCCATACTATGTTGCTTCCTGGCTTGACCTACTCTGGGCTCAGGAGCCCCCTTTTCTCAGGTCTGCTAAGTCAAGGATCACCTGTCTCTCTGCTTTCTAACTGCCGAAATTTCGTTCTTTTTCCTCTCTTGTTACCTTGTTCTTGTGAGATTTTTTGTTTAATCTGCTTTTGTTTTACTTGAATTTCAAGGGAACTGACACGAATGGCGTATGTTTAATCTGCTATCTTTAGATTTTTTTTTTTTAGTTGACAGAGGGAGACACAGAGAGAGAGGGAACACAAGCAGGGGGAGTGGGAGAGGGAGAAGCAGGCTTCCCGTGGAGCAGGGAGCCCGATGCGGGGCTCGATCCCAGGACCCTGGGATCATGACCTGAGCCGAAGGCAGACGCTTAACGACTGAGCCACCCAGGCGCCCCAATCTGCTATCTTTAATATAAAGGCTCCTTTGAGTCTTTAATTTCAACAATGGCATTAATGTTTTTTTCAGATTTTATTTATTTATTTGACAGAGAGAGACACAGCGAGAGAGGGGACACAAGCAGGGGGAGTGGGAGAGGGAGAAGCAGGCTTCCCCCTGAGCAGGGAGCCTGATGTGGGGCTCGATCCCAGGATCCTGGGATCATGACCTGAGCCGAAGGCAGACGCTTAACGGCTGAGCCACCCAGGTGCCCCGGCATTGATTTTTTTTTTTAATACTGTCTTAGATCAGGCTCCCTAGAAGCAGAGGTTCTTGTGTAAGTGCCTTACTTAGTAAGGGCTCATTCTTGGGAAACACTTGTACTTGAGACAGAGCAGGAGATTGCAAAGGAAGAGGCAGAGCACAGATGTGGTTTCTACAGAAATTTAGCTCCAGTCCAAGCCCACAGGAGCTCTGGAATTGGAAGGGTATCACAAATTTATTCCTGGCCTTTTGTACCCCAGAAACTTGGCTTTGGACTGTGGCTCCCCAACCTGCTGTGAGGGCATTTATTAGAGAAAGGGGCAGTTGTGAGCTAGGTGTACCTGCCTGGTAAAGGTGATCTTGGCAGAGTGCATCAGCTCCATTCCCAACCTTTTATTTGTTTATTGTTAGAGTAGCCTAATTGTTAATTTTTAAGGAATGCAATAGTCTCTCTAATCACTCTGAAGACATGAATTTTCCTATTTCATTCTTTTGCATCCTGATTTTGTTTCCTCTAGGTGAGTTCATAAAGTGAAGCTCAGAAACTTTAATTTATCAAAGCAGAGAAAAGGGGCAGAACGAGGTCTAGAATCTAAACCAGTCCGATCCTAAAACCCATGTTCTTTACCATGTCAAACCACCTTCTTTTGCTACATCTTAATGACATGGTTTAATGTCACCTCTCCGGCTTTAAGGGTGTAACAGCCACTTGGATTTTGTTCTACTGGATAGCAAACACACTTCCCCAAGCTACCTACCCTCTGTTAAATAAAATCCGAATTTGCCGGTAGATTCAAAGGATTCATCCTGCAAGCACCAAGCACCTACCAATGTGCTGGAACCGGTACTAGGCGCGTGTGCCAAGACGACCTAGACTCGGTGCCTCCGAGGCCAGAGTCTTGGGGAGGCAGCAACGAACGCATAAACCGGTCTCACCCGGCGTGAGCGCGGCTCCCGGGCCGACCCTAGGGGCTGCCGAGCAGTACCAAACCCTGGTAATTTCCTGGGGAGGAGAGAACGATCTGCGGCGGCTCCGAACTCCTATTCCCAAAGGTCTCCCCAAGGAAAGGGAACTCCGTTTTCCGCAAGGGAGATGGGGTGCTACTGGGAACTTTTCGGGGGTATTTGTTTCAATGTGCCGGCGTGACTTCACTTCCCACTGCTCGGGCCGCAGACTGGGCGAGAAAAAGTGCGGTTCCCCGGCGGGGGGTTGGGGGGGGGTGACTCGCGGCGGGCCTCCGGGCCTCCGCCGGCGCAGGGCGGGTGCGGGAGAGGCTCGCAGCTCCGAGAGCGTAGGGGCGCCCGGGCGCCTGTGACCCGGGGAGTCCAAGTGCTCGGGGTCTGCGGAGGCAGGCGCGGGGCCGGGCGGGGCCGGGCGGGCGACGGGGCCGCGGAGCCTGGACAGCGGGCCGGGTCCCCGGAGGGGCGCGGGCACGTGCGGGGTGCGGCCCCAGGTCCGGGAGCGAGGCTGGTCCCCCGCTGGCCGCCAGGCGTGGCGGTCCCGGCCCCGGGCCCCGGGCCCCAGGTGCGCTTCGCGCCCCCTCCCGCAGGATCTTCCGGTCCCGTGTGCAGAGCGACAACCAGGAACTCGGACTCGGTCTCCACCCCGAAGTGGGGCGGGTCCGCCCGGGATAAGACCGGCTGCCGGGCCCCGGGAAGGGTGTGATCTACGCGGCCGCCGGGGACGAGCTCAACCCGGTCTCGGCGGGAGCGGTAAGGGGCCCCGGGCCGGGGGTCCCGGGCTGGGGGAAGGGGGCGCCGCAGCCTCGGGCGCCTCACGGGGACAGCCCTGCGCCGCGCCCAGGAGGGGGTGCCCGCCGCCTGCCTGCGGGCGGGGCTTGGGCGGCCACCGGGTGGAGCGGGCGCCGGCCGCCCGGGGCTCGCCCGAAGTGGGCCTCGCGCAGGCGGGTATCCCCCGGCACCTTCGGGAAGGAGCCGTTGACACAGCTCGGAGTGCAGACGGGTCGGAGACCGCAGCAGTTTTCTATTGAGTTCTTGTGTCAAGAGCTGCGCTGGCTTCGGGCATTAACAAGAAAGCATTGAGTTAATACTCCCTGCAGCTGACTCAGTCTAATACCTAAGTTTTCTTTTTCGTTCTTTCTTTTCTCCTTTTAAGAAACTTACTCGCTTTTCCTAGTTTCTTACCCTGTCTCTCCTCACGTATCTAATGGCCTCGGCAGAATGGCCGGCTGGCACATGGGAACCTGTTATTATGAGATCTCTGACTTGAGTCTGCCAGCGGCACAGTCTCACTCTTGTCTGGGCTTTGACTCGCGGGAGACTTTGGGGCCAAAGAGACTTTTGCTCTTCAACAGTCTGCCCCACTGTAAGTGCTCCCTGGGTTGATGCAAGTCCACGAGCTGTACTGAGTAACCCACACCTTTCATGACAAGTGGGCATCTGCTCTCTCCAGCTGACCTTGGGAAGAAGGGATAGGGTCACCCCCTCCAAATTATGCATCCCACCTCCTCCTTACATTGCAGGTGACACTTCTGATAGCCAACGCCTAGCTCTTTCCTTACCAGGGAGTTCTCAGAAGACACAGAGGTGCAAGAGCAAGCAGGAGGGGAAGGGAACAGGAATGAGATGGGTAATCACAGCCACCCAAGACCTGCTTCCTTCCCAGAGCCCAGCCCTATCTGGTCAAGGCCAGATCCCTTAGATTCAGCTCAGGCCAGATTTCTGTTGTTTTGGGGGAAACACACACACACACACACACGTGACTGTTAGATCAAGGGCATCTATGAATTTCCCTCCTAAATATTTTTATATTTGGCTAGGGATATTTTTTCTCTGAAAGCAAGTAGGAGAGTAACATGCAGTCAAATCGAAACACACCAGCCCTCAGCATCTGAGGAATGAGCCCCATGGCCATCCTCAGACTCATATCCTTTGGCCCATTTCTTTATGTCTAACCACTCATTTGTTTTTCCCCATCTTGATCCTCTGCTTGTCCATGAAGCCCACTCTTCAAGAATGAGTACAGGGCACTGCCAGGGAATACCTGAAGCTTCAGAATAAACCAAGGGCCTGGGGGGTGGGGGTCAATTATACCTCGATCTTTGAGATTGAAAACATCTGCTAAAACAACCAGGTATATTTTAGAGTAGAATTCAAAATTTGTACCTTTTTAATATAAAACAAGAAACTTAAAATTTTTTTTGCTTGGGGTTTGGGCTGTGATTTGGCCCATCCCTAGCCCTTGAAGGTTTGCTTTCACTACCGTTAGGGCTACTGTGGAGGCAGTTTGATGGGTGCTGCCATGTCCTACCTGGAAGGACTTTGAATAACAGTCGTCCTTGGTTACTCATTTAATAGTGATTTCAACTTGAGGTAGGGTTCCTAATCTTGTTTACAGATGAGGTGGGTGTGGGGACACGTTAATGGCCCTAAATTCTTGAGGGGCTTGGCATGTGGACCAGAAAATAAACTCATTCCTTGTGGTTGGGCAGAGCTGTGTTGGATGGCGGGTTCTGTTGGATGTAAGGTGTGGCTTTTGAATCCCCTAGGCTGGGTGGACTTGGAGATGGAGAGCTTTCTCAGCAGAGGTGTCTAGGCAGGGGCCTTGTAGCCCCTTTTGGATGGGGCTGTGAAAGGTAGAAGGTTAAACTAAGATGACCTCCAAAGCCATAGCTTCCTCACTTCAGGTTACATCAGAGTTCCTCAGGAAGCTTGCACAACATGGAGATTCTTGCCCCAATCCCCAAGATTCTTATCCAATATGACAGGGTTGGGCCCAGGAAAATGCATATTTAATAGGTTCCCTGGATGATTGTGATTCAGATGTTTCTTGGACCTTACTTTGAGAAACTAAGCTTTAGAAACACTTACATGAATATATGCATGCTTGATAAATAAAGTCAAGCATTACAAAAACCTGGAACTTCAAGGAACTTAGGCCTGTCATTATGCTATAAATAATGTGGTAAAGCTGACATTGTCCCCATTCTCAAGGACAGCTCATTATTATACCTATCACATCAAATGCACCCCATAGTTTTATAGTGCTTGACACCCTTACGCCAAATAGAGGGTCTAAAGCAAAGGGGTTTTGTTTATTTTTAAACTTAATTGAACCTGAGATGGATTACTATATTAAGAATAATTTACCTAGAAATTTAGGATTTGTTAGGTCTGTTGCTTGTTTTATTGGGACTAGCTTGTTACTGTTCAGTTGTGTCTGCACTGGACTAAGAGCTTTTGCTATGGGAACCTGAACCACCACCTTTGAAGAATTCTTTTTAAAGGTTCAAGATATTTGAGGTCAGTAAATTGCCATATTGCTTCTTGGTCCAGATTACTAGACATAAGAACCTGAGTGAATGTTTTCACCAGAATGAACCACAATCAGCAGGAGGGATAAATTGCAGCTATAGGCCAGACTATAAATTGCTTTGGAAAAGACCTCCACCAACCCCACCTCTCCATCATTAACCCTTTAAGGCCTACAGCATGAGTGGCCTGACTTGTAACAGAACAGGAAGTCCCAAGAGTGGCCTTTTGTCAGGTCAGTAGAAAGACCTCCCTGCCCAGTCGCTGTGGATTCATTTCTCTGGGTTAAGGCCCTCATCCCCCCTGCACCCCTCCCACCAGAGGTAACATTAAATTATTACCAGAAAGTAACATAGAAGGTTTGTGATGGGAACAAGTTCTCCTGATTTATGTGTACTTGAGTCATCTCCCCTGGAGGAGGTCTTTAATAGATACAAGCCCGGTGGTATAATCAGTCCCCAGCATCTTCCCTCTCGCTCCTCTCCAGGGGGCTCAGGAAGGCATTTTCTGGGTCCTGCTTTGTTTCAACTTTTGCTATTGATGCTTTTGGATGCTATACAAGAATCCGTTGACTCAGTAGTTCTCATCCTTGTTAGTTACAGACCCCTTTGAGAATCTGGTTAAAGCCACAAATTGTCTCTTGAGAAAAAGAAACACATATTTGACATTGTTCTTACAGTTTCAAGGGGTTTATGGACAGCTGTCTAAACCCAATCATGAATACCTAGCAGGTACATAGATGGAATTGCCCTGAAATTTGGCAGTTTGTTAAAATTTAAAAATGGAAAAAAAATAAAAAATAAAAAAATAAAATTTAAAAATGGATTTGCCTTTGTTCTAGCAATTTGAATTCTGAATTTATCATAAAGATATACTTAGATATGTGTGTAGAGGCACGTGTACAAGGATATATATACTGCAGCTTGTTTGTAGCAGCAAAAGATTGGAAATGAACTAAATATCTGTCACCAAAGGGCTGGTTAAATTATGGAACATCTATTCATTGTAGTACTGTGCACCTGTTAAAAAGTGATGCAGGTTGACAAGAACAGATATAGAATGATATCAAAAAATCTTTTAAAAAAACATTTTTAAAAAAAGTAAATTATAGGTTTGCATGGTATTCTACTCCTTTTTTTGTAAGAATGATGGAAACTATCGTCTATATGCTTGTTAATGCATTAAACAGTTCTGATAGTATACATAGGAAAATTATAACAGTGGTTGCCGGGGCGCCTGGGTGGCTCAGTCGTTAAGTGTCTGCCTTCGGCGCAGGTCATGATCCCAGGGTCCTGGGATCAAGCCCCACATCGGGCTCCCTGCTCCGTGGGAAGCCTGCTTCTCCCTCTCCCACTCCCCCTGCTTGTGTTCCCTCTCTCGCTGTGTGTGTCTCTGTTAAATAAATAAAATCTTTAAAAAACAAACAAAAAAAAGTGGTTGCCAAAACAAGGTAGAGGGGTAAAGTTCATCCAGACTTACCACTTTATACCTTTTTGTATTATTTGAATTTTTTAATCATACATATTATCAATTTTTTAAAAATAGTTACAGCTATCACCTACCCATTTAACATTGCTTGTGAAGAGGGAGAATGAAGTAGAAATGAAAAATACATGTGTATTTTTAAAATTTTCCAACCTCAAAATTAATACAAGATCATATATTTTCTTATTTGTATACAAGGAGCCAGTATGCAGTTATGCTTCGGTCTCCAGTGAAATATGATAGCAATCACTCATTCTTACCATACATTTCAATTGGGCTAATTTCTCATTTGGGTACGCTCCAGCTAGTTCCAAAAAGAATGTAAGGTGCCTTGAACTGCATGGTGGAGAAAGCTCTGTATGTACATGGGCTGATGAGTTCCATGTGTTTTTAGCTGCAGAAGCAGAGACAGGAGTAGATGGGTTAAGTCCCAGCCTGTCGACTAGATAGACCTGCTAGGACAGGGCCTAGGTCAAAGTCCTAGCAATGATACCAGATCCTGGGCACTGAGGGGCCTGGCCTTGGCTTCAGAGCCTGACTCTTAGTCAGTGAGGCCCCCGCCTCTGCATATTGGAGCCTCCATGTCACAGATATTAACAGCTAATGTTCACCAGTGTTTCCTAGGAGCCTGACCCTGTGCTAAACAACTGGCATGTCATTTATTAAATTTTCATCCATAATCGGGTGCTACCATTATCATCCCCATTGTATAAGTGAGGAAACTGAGGCACAAAGGGGTTCAGTAATTTGCCGGAGGTCACATACTAAGTGCAAGTGGTAGAGCCAGGATTTGAATTTGGCAGTCGATTCAACATCCTGTGCTCTACCACTCTGTTATACTATATAATGGGTTAAGAACGGGGAATCGGCCTGAAAAGGCAGGGCTGTGGGGCTGGCCTCTTTCAGAGGGGAAGAGGTAGAAGCTGTGTCCGTACCACTTGTCTGAGATGAACTTG